GAAAGCAGGAGGATTACAACCAGCAGCTGCCATGTCCCCTTTTCAAGGGCAAAGAAGCTGTGGGTCACCCTTGGAGGAAGTCTCCAGTTGAACCCAAATTCCAACGCCACCAACCATCTTCCTTTGACCCTCCTCCTGTGAGGAACTTAATTCTAAATTTCCAAGCCACTGTTAAGATCCTCTGGGGCTTGCCCTGAGTTGTGTGTGAACTTAGCTTCATTTTTCTAGCTGGTTGGGAGGAGATGGAGGGTCCTGCAACCCACCTGCAACTACTTCCCATGTCAGTTCGACAACATGGTAGCCTACGGACGTATTCTCCTTACACTCCAAGAAGCGTAATAATAAGGAAAATATGTGAGGAGAAAGCAGGCCAGAGAAAACAGGGCAGCCTAATGTGAGTCTATAGGGCAGACACCTTATGCAGATCCAATAGTAGACCATTTCTGGCTATGCCCGTGGGAAGACTGCTCTGTGGCTAGAAAGAGGTGCTGAGGAATTTCTACAACTGGGGCTGCCAGATGACTTGACTCTATTAATCTGGCAAGTAAAAATGGTCCCAAGAGAGATGGAAAAATTTTCAAAGATTTGTTAATAACTTGAATTCTTAAGTTTTTTTTTTATATATTAAGGACGTTTATATATTAAGGACATTAACTGTTTGTCACATGCATTGTGACTATTTCCCCTATTTGCCTTTTGACTTTCTATGGGGTTAAATTTAAAAAAAAAAACAGAAATTGAAAACTTTGATTTTTTTTTAAGTATTATGTTTCTGGATTTTGAATCTTGACTGGGAAAGGTTTCTTTTTCTCATATCTAGTTTAACACACACACATGTCGAATTCTTTTACCATTTTATTTTTTAATATTGAAACTTCAGTGCCTCTATAATCTTTTGGTGGAAGGCATAAAAGAGAATTCATTTCCGATCTCTGCATCGTCCCTGTCCCAAGGCCAGCCGGCCCTTTAGTGACATTTTTGGCTAGTATGTCTTTTCTCTGTTATTTGGAGATGCTGTTCACATTCTGTGTTTCCAGATATATTTGGTTCTAATTCTGGATGTGCATTGTCTTGTTGATCTGCCTATTTTGCCTCTAGTATCAAGTAGATTTTAATAACTACACAGACGGCTCCTATTCTCTAATTGGTATTCCCAGGAGGTTTAAGAGGATGTGGTATCAAAAAGGAACTGTCTGAAGAGCAGGGTAGATTGCTTTCAGATGCAAAACAAAATTACTAAATTATAGGTTTTGAGGGAGGCAGTGAACAAAGAGAGCTTTACAGAAAATACGCTTGGTAAGTTTGAGACTAGTTAAATAATTCTGAAGAGCATAAGAGTTGGAGATTATGGGTGAAAATGATAGGAGGCTTGGTATATGGATGGACAGATGGATGGTGGATAGATGGGAGATAGATGGACAGATGAGAAGATGGGTATATGGGAAGAGGGATGGATGGGAAGCTGATGATGGATAGATGGCCATATGGATGGGAGGAGGGATGGGTGAGATGATGGATTGATGGATGGATGAATAGATAGATGAATGCAGATAGATAGATAGATAGATAGATAGATAGATAGATAGATGGGTGGGAGGATGATGGGTGGTTGGGAGGATACACAGAATGGAGGATGGATGAATGGTATTAGAGAAGATAAGGGTTTTCAGAAGAACAATAATGGAAGGAAGAAAGAATTAGGCAAAGAAAAGACTACAATAGCACTTCTCCTGTGTTTGAGGTGAGAAAATTGCTAGTGGTCAGTCTCATTCTTTGTAGCGCAACACCTGCCATATGTGCTATGGTACGGTTTGCGAGTCAGGCAAGGGCCTAGAGATTGAAATACACACACACACATACACAGAGAGAGAGAGAGAGAGAGAGAGAGAGAGAGAGAGAGAGAGAGAGAGAGAGAGAGAGAGAGAGAGAGAGGAATGTCGTCTTTATTATGGTCCAAGGCAGCTTATATAGGGTTTCCTTGATGAATAGCCACGCCCTAACTCTCAGATGCAAACCCACCAGAAACCACTCCCCTGCCATCAGGAACTCCTGAGGTTCTCATGCTCAGAGCAGCTGTAAAACAAATTGTTTACTCAGAGCAGCTGCAAGCATAGGAAAACAAGTTGTTTACTCCTGCAGGCAGGGGCTCGCAGGAAATTCAGGGTCTGGGGGTCCATAGTCCTCAACAATTCTTTACCATTAATCTGGTTGTCATTGGTACCCGCCTATAGAATGACTGACCAAAGTCCCCTACGACTTTCATGTAGTTCCATGAAAGTCCATTCCATGTGTCTATTCATTCCCTGGGCTGCACCACCAGCTCCTGGCTCCACTATCACCGCTGTCTTGGATACCCTGTCCTAAAGGCTGTCAGCACACCGCATCTCCTGTTTCCCCTCTGTCCTCTAGGGGCTCCTCTCCCTCTGCCCACTCTCTTGGCTGGGCTACCTGGAAGCTTGCCCTAAAGCTCTCCATTCTCATGACATTGTCTGTTCTGACTCAGAGGCTCACACTCCCATTTTGTACAAAGGGTTTGCCATTATTGGTTGTTTTTTTATTCTTTGGCTTTTTGGGGGGCCTGCCACCCAGCTTCCAGATAAATACACACAGAGTCTTATTCTTTCTTATGAATGCCCGGCCGTAGCTTGGCTTGTTTCTTGCCAGCTTTTCTTAACTTTAAATTATCCATCTATCTTTTGCCTCTGGGCTTTTACCTTTCTCTATTTCTGTATATCTTTGTTTTCCTTCTTATTCCATGTCTGGCTATATGGTTGGGTGACTGGTTTCTGGCATCCTCCCCGCCTTCCTTACTTGATCCTCTGTCTTTTTCCAGAATTCTCCTCCTATTTATTCTCTCTGCCTGCCAACACCACCTACTCTTTCTCCTGTCTTGCTATTGGATGTTTAGCTTTTTATTATACCAATCAGGTGTTTTGGGCAGGCAAAGTAGCACAACTTTACAGAGTTAAACAAATGCAACATAAAAGAACGCAACATAGTTGATATGGCAGACCTAGTTGACTTCCCAGGGGAGGCTTCACCCTGAGGAGCAGATGGGGGAAGCGGGAGGAAGCAGGAGGAGAGGAGGAAGGAGGAACTGGGATTGGTATGTAAAAAATAAATAAAAAATTTTAAAACAGCACATATCTTTGCACCATTAAACAAATGTTCCCACAGCATAAACAAATGTAACTCATCTTAAACTAGTATTCTGCAACAGGTGTGCCTCTGCCTGGACGTATCTACCCTGTGCTGTTGGCACTGACACCTTAGTGGGGGTAGGGGTGTCACTGAATCCAGCTGGTCCCCAGGCCCCAACCTAAGCTCAGATGTCGTGTCCTTCCTGGGGACCACCATGGTCTTGCCCCCCCCCTTGACAGAACCGTTTATGCCTTCTGTCTACCCGCCCTGCACACTGAGAGCAGGGAACCGTGTGCTTTGTACAGCTAGTCACACGGCCAGTGCTCGTGGAATGTGAAAACCTGCAAGGGTGCAGGAAGGGGCCTTTTGGGAGATTTGCTAGGTGAGAGTAACTGCCACTTCAGAAGGAAAGAAAAGCTTTTAAAACAGTCTGTCCGCCTTATTGTTTTCTTCCTGTACAGTATATACTCAGCTTTTGCAGTCAGATTTTGATAGGTTTTTGAAAAAAAAAAAACCCAAGTTTTTAGAACTTAGACCCCACTGTCTGCTTAGGGTCCCCCTGTTGAGGACACAGATGGGCTGTGAGCCTCACTCTGGCTGTGGAAACCTTTTGTTCATTTCTCATAGTTGCTGGAACAAATCACCCGAACTCAGGGCCTTAAAACAACACAGTTTTATTGTCTGACAGTTCTGTGGGTCAGAGGTCTGGCTCAGTGCCCTTGGAGTCCAGTTCAAGGTATGATCAGGGCAGGCCCCTTCTGGTTCCATAAACACAGTGGATTCTGCTTAATGACAGACATGCTAAAGTCTGTCGGGGAAGATGCCTGGTGCCTGTAGTGCCGGGTTGGTAGCTGGCAGGAAGGCAGAGCAGGCGCCTGCCGGAGTGAGTACAGTAGAGTGGTGGGGACAGGCTAGCACTGGCTGAGCACGTTTCACTGTAGTCTAAGCTTGTCTGGAACTTGCTGTGTAGCCTGGGCTGGCCTCAAACTTGTGGCCCTCCTGCTTCAGCCTCCCAAGTGCTGGGATTGCAGACATGTGCCACCATGCTCAGTGTTAGACACCTTTGTGATCGTCATGGCAGGGGCACTGCTACTGGTTTTGAGCAGGAAGAGGCCAGGGAGGCTGGCAAGCATCATCTAATGCCCTCTGGCATTAGACCCACGACAGAGCATAATTCAGCTGCACATGTTAGCAGGTGAAGGCTAGATCCACAACAGAACACAGTCCACTGCACGTGTCAGTGGGTGAAGGCTAGACCCACAACTATACATGTCAGTGGGTGAAGACTGGTCTATCATGGACCAGATTTGAATATGTGGTTTCGTATGCTTGGGGGGTGTAGACATGCATATATTTCTGTGAGATGAAACAAATGAGACAGGGTTTCCTAATCCATTACTTGTTTTCCCAAGCAATGAATCGCCTTTGACTCTGCATTCCAGGGGCGCTCACGGAACTAGGCTGCACTGCCGGGCATGGCTTATTTGGACATTTCAGGTGGTTCCCTGCCCTCGGTCAGCTTCAGTAGACTTTGGGAGGTCCCTGCAGGATGAGACTCTGGTCTGTGGGGGAGATGTCCTTTAGAGAGAAGACTCCTTGGCCATCCTTAGACCATCTTTGTTTTCCATATTTTCCTTGGCTGGGGCAGAAGTCCTGCTCAATCCCATGGTGTTTTTTCTAGGGTGTGAGGGTACAGGGTCAGTAGGGCATCTCATCAGCTCTGCTTACTCTGGGCTGCTCCGGCTGTGGATCTGGGCGAAGAGCAGCCATTCTGGCTGGTTTTGTCTCCTTCTGTCTCCTGCTGGATCTGCCGAGGTCATAGCCTGGCTCTCAACTCTGGCTTCTCCTTTCAATTACAGGCCTCTCCTTCTGATGAGACGAGAAGGGAAGGATGGACTACACGCACCAAACTGCCCTGGTCCCGTGTGGACAGGATAAATACATGTCCAAGTAAGATGTCTCATAGTATTGCTCAGCCGTTGCCGGGGCTCTGTGGGTAGACGGAAGCCACCGGGAGAGGAGTTTCATCTGTGTGAGCAGATAGCAGCCAAACACGGTCTAGTGAGAGTGGGAGAGAGAACCAGCAGCTGTAGATGAACACATGCCCCCAGTAACCAGTGAACCCAGCCTGATCAGAAAAGGGCTAATAGGACCCAGCGCCTTTGGGAACTTAAACAAGGCTTCCCAGAGAGAGGGATCGGCTGATGGTTGGTTGCTTGCTAGGTTCCGAGTGTATGTACCCCCAAATTCCCTGTGAAGTCTGAAGCCTGTGGTGATGGAGTGGGATGTGGGCTTCTGTCAGAGTGGAAACCTTATCTGTGGAATGAATGGACTTAAGAAAAGCCAGAGGGAGTTGGTGCATCCTTCTGCCATGGGAGGAAGCAGAGAGGAGACGTGAAGGACCGGCCCTTGCTGAATGCTAAATCAGCTGTCGCCTCATCTTGACTTCCTCAGCCTCAACTGAGAGATGAAATCCTATTGTTTTGAGGCTCCCCAGTCTCCAGTATTTTGTCACAGCTGCCATAGACGGACACACACGCGGCTCATTGCCCCTGCTGTGGTGCTGCCTAGGGAAAGACAAGGCTGCAGTAGTGAGCCGCGGACGGCCATGGCTCTCACTAAAATAGGCATGAGGCAGGGTCCGTGGGGCTTGATGACACACACCTTCAATCCCAGCAATTTGGGAGGCTAAGACAGAAGGATTGCTGGTTCAAAGCTAACCTGGGCTGTGCTGAATTCAAAGGCGGTTAGGTTAACTTAGTAAAATCCTCTCTCAAAATTAAAAAGAAAAAGGAGCTGGGCATGTAGCTTTTGCTACACTTGCCTAACAACCCCAAGCCCCCAGTTCGTTCCATACTATGAGGGAGGAAAAAGGAGAAGGGTCTGGTCCATGGCTTCCTGTACGTTATTGTCTGTGGAATAGGCTTTGTTGATAAAACACCAGAGGTTGAGTAGACATTGATTCCGATCCCCTTGAGATCAAACCCAGGGCCTCAGGTATGAAAGAGGCACACTAAGCTGTCCCGCTGCAAGTCTAACCATATGTCTTTGGCCCAGCACAGGGATTTTAGCTCTTGGATGCTCTTCACCTTTAAAAATTATTTAGCTTATCAGACACTAAATTGTTGTAGGACACTACACTTGGCCATGTAGAGCCGCCTGTTATATGAGATCCAGAACATTCTCGAATCTTCACCAAAGGGTTTCCCTGGAGACTTCTAGTGAGCAAGAATTTTGAATAGCACAGCAAGCCTTTGGTTGGGGTTTTGTGGGGGGTCACATTTTTCTTTAACTCAGTCCAGCTTGCGTAGAATGGCTCCTTCACTGAGGTTTAACTTGTCTTGAGTCTCATGGATTCTCCTGTGGGTTTGACTTCCGCTGGGGTCCACATTCTCTATTTGGATCTAAAAATCTTCCTACTGGCCTGCTGGGATTAGAAGGGCTGAGCTTGGTCACCTCTTCCCTGAGAAGCAGGTGGCACACAAGGTAGGCAGCCTCCCAAGCTGTCACCGGGTGTCCCTCTTGGAGTGATAAACAGCAGGCATGTGTATCAGGAGTAGAAGATTGCCAGGATCCTGAAGGTTCCTCAGGCCCATGTCTGTTCATGGCTCTCCAAGGGTCTGGCTTCTTCCAGTTAACGTGAGACACAGTAGCTTCATCCATATAGTATGTGGTACTTTCGTGTATTCATTGCTGTGTTGCTCCATTGCGTGACGATAACTTCCTTTATTTATCTGTTCTGTTGATGGGAATTTGCTAAAGAGAGCAGGGCTTTGTCAGCAAACCCCAGAGTCAGGAACAAGCACATCCTCACCCCTTGCAAACCTTTGGAGAATGGAACTCAGGACAGTGCCATCTTTGTGGGCACTTACACATTTAAACATAGTAGAACTTGAGGCCTGTGATCTTTACAATAAGAATGGATTCTATTGGCTGATAAACAGAGCTCAGGGTAGGGCCTGGAGAAAGTTCTGTGATGAGCATCAGGATAGGTTCTATTGGTGGAAGCTGCCAAGTACATGGGTCCTCTGTCCTAGGGATGCGCTCTATTCACTGCAGGATCGAGGTATGAACAATGCTCAGGATATTGGGGGATTCAGGCGGAGACAATAGAAGAGCAAAGAATCACCAGGTTGATTGCCCACTTTTCACTCTGGTGTTCCGGTGACTAAGCATCATTCATTTCCTTCCATTGAAGAAAACAGACTCTTGTGATCCACAGTCTTGGTTTCCATGGTGCTTTAAGCTGAGCCTCCTACAGTCTTAAGTTATCTCTATCAACTTTCTAAAAGGTCTGTGAAAGTCTCAGAGCTTTGTGAAAGCCAATAGCAGTCACCCTGTCCTCACTCCCAGCAAGCAGTAGAGAAGGAAGGTTCAAGAAGCAGAACTCCTGCTGGCACGGATAGGGCATTTGTCTCTGAGTCTGTGACTTATGCCTGCTAGCCTGTGGGTTGGGGCAGAATGCTGGAGATGCCAGTCTTTGTCTACAGGCTGCCATGATGTTCCAAGCTGTTTCCTAATGTTTATCTTGACCTTGGTCATGGGGAAAGGTGCCGATGGGGTGGTTGGTGCACAACTCTCAATGCATGTGTGTACCTGTGTGTGTATGTGTTTGTGTGTGTGCACACCCATGTGTACAAAGACTCAAAGGGCCACTGAGGCCAGTTGAGGGGGGTGAGCAGAAGAGGGAATGGCTGCACTGTGATGGCTTCAGCTGGTAATGTAATTCTCCCCCAAGGAACGAACTTCTCCTCCATCTGAAGACCTACAACCTGTACTATGAAGGCCAGAACCTGCAGCTCCGCCACCGAGAGGTAAGGTGTCCCTCCTGCCATGGCAAATGACCCCACCGGGACTTAGGATGTCAGTGGGTGTCCTTCTTTTACCTCATTTCATATCTGTCTCTCTAGACTGTAAAGAAGCTGGTTAGAATGACTGTACTCAGTTGCTCTTGGCTGATTAGAATACATTTTCAAGTGATCAGTACCTGGTAATTTAGTTCACACAGAGAGCGAGCGCACGGCGACTTTCAGCCACTAAGGGAAGCTGTTAGGGAACAGAAAACAAGGCACCGTGGCTTTCCCTGTCTCTTAAAGAACTTCGCTTCGAGTCCTAGTGTGGGTTAAATTCCACCCTGCTATTAGGCAAAATAAAGGCGCAATGCCAGTCCTGGCCAGCTGGAAACCATATAAACAGCCCTGCCCACACAAAGCCCTTCTCCCTAAGAACACCAGCTGCTCCAAGGTTGTTGCATTCCTCTGCCATCTTGTTTTGTCTCGGCCTCTCGACGAGGACGATCCTCTGGCTCAGGTTGGTTGATCACTGAGCAGATGTTGGGAAGGTGTGCGTGGCCCCGCTCTGACACTCATGAAAGTTTGGGTTCAGAAGGAAGAAAAGAAGCCTGACCCTCGAGGGGGCTAACTGGCAGCTGGGCTGTGAGCATGGGCCCAGCGTGGCTGGCCTGCTTCTATCCTGGGATTACTTTGTGTAGCCGTGAATGCACAGCCTGGCAGATGACTTAAAAAAGAGTGAGGATTTATTCGTGCTCACATTTTCAGAGGGCGTGGTCTACGCATGGTTTCATGTGCCCAGGTAGAACATCCTAGTGGTGGGAACATGTGGGAGAATTTCTTCACCTCATAGCAGGTAGGGAGTGGAGACGAACAGGAAGTTACTTCAGTGACCCACTGCCTTCAGTTAGACCTCCTTCCTAAGGTTCCCACCAGCAATGACCCAAACATTTAGACCATAGCCTGTGGGAACATCTTGTAATCAAAGCAGAATGATTCTGTAGCTCCTCTCTGAGATCTCACAGCCTGAATAGGATTGGGGGGGGCTGCACTTAGGGAGCTTCTACATTGGACTTCTTGTTGGTCAACAACCTTTGAGTATAGCTTTGGAATTCCCGAAGGATTTCTTCACCTCTTGGGAAGTGTCGAGGTATGTTAGACTAATGACAGGCACAAGGGAGTTTTGCTTTAAAAACTCAGCCCTGCAGCTGGCAGACACTTGACACCTTTTAAGGCAACAGTCCTGCTTCAGGAGCGTGTTCTGTAAGTAAACTTGGGGGAAAGCGTTGAGTCCCCGTTACCTAAGTCGGGTTGGATTGCTAAACACAAGGTGAACAGCCCGCTCAAGGGTTTTGTTCTTGCTTCTAATTAGTAAGGCCAGTCTCTGTTATTTTAAGATCCTGACGCTCTCTCCCTCCCTCCTTCCTTCCATCTTTGTTCCCCCCCCCCTCTCTATTCCTTTCTTTCTTGTCTTTTTTAAGTTAGGTGCTCATTCTGTAGTTCATACTAACCTGGAACTCAATCCTCCTGCCTCAGCTTCCTCAGTACTGGTACCAGAGGTATGAGCTATCATACCTGGTGGCCATTGTATTCTGATTTCCTTAAAGTCATTAGGTTAAGGACAATAAGAGGGTTTGATGAATTGCACACGTGTATCTCAGGTTCAAAGACACAGGGGTTTGGGAGCACATTGCTGGGGAATCTCCCACATGCTGCCTTCGCCCAGCTCAGTCCCTCCACAGAAAGTTTTGTGCTTCTGACCTTTGAGGTCAGCTGCAGAGAGCTAGGGACTTCACAGCACACCACTCGCATACCATGGGTCCACTCTGGGCTCAGCACTCCCCCCCCCCCCCGGTTGTTTCGTGGCAGGAGGAAGACGAGTTCATTGTGGAGGGGCTGCTGAACATCTCCTGGGGGCTGCGCAGGCCCATTCGACTCCAGATGCAGGATGACCACGAACGCATCCGTCCGCCTCCATCCTCCTCCTCCTGGCACTCTGGCTGTAACCTGGGCGCGCAGGGGTGAGTGACGGAAGCTGAGGTTCCTGGTCCAGTTCCTAGAACCCCCACTGCTCTCTGCTGTGGGTTTGGGAGGGGGAGAAAGGGGCCTCTGACCTGACTCCATAGACAGAGTGAGGAGGAGGGGTTCTGAGTCAGCAAGGGGAAGCGCTGAGGAACGGGGTGGCAGTGGGTCCTCCCTCCAGGAGAGCCCTGGACTCTCCAGGGTTCTTCTTGGTCTCACTGATCCAAGTTTGCAGGCTTCTGAGAGGGCGCCAACCCACACACATCCTCCCAGCTGGATTTGGGCCTGTTCCAGGGGCATCTAGGATTTGAACCTCCTGACCAAAGCTTTCTCAATCTTGGTGGAACCTAATAGGAGAAAAGGAATGTTCTGTCTGAGACAGCCAAGTGAGGTCAGCCAGGGGTCTCCTGTACACCTGGACCAGGTCATAGCACAAATGCTAGGGGGTCCCCTGTTGGTCCTCACTGCAAGGTCCGTGATCTCCCACCTCCGGTGGCCAAATGAGCAGCTGGTTACCAGCATCAGGAAGATGTTTTGTTCTCTCTGGGACTTCAGTTTTAAGATCAAGTGACTAGCCTTGTTCCCCTTGAAACTTGCTGAGGTGGGTGGTGTTTCGGGCCGGAGCCTGGGTGGAGTGGGGATGGCTGCTGGGCCAAAACCACAGTGATGTGCTTTCTGCTTTAAAGGGGAACTGAGCCCAGCCTCTCTGCTGGCTGCCTGGAACATTGTTACATTCCACAGCCAAGTGTATCATTCTCCTCAGTTGAGAAATGGCTACAGAATAGCCAAACCCTCGAACCACCATGGCTCTTCCCAAGAGAAATGAAGGAGGGAAGTTGTCGCTCCGCCCACTGGGCGTAGAGAAGCAAGCCTTCACCGTGGTTCAGTTCCGGTGAACTAGACCCTCGCTGCTCAGCCTTGACCTCTAGATTGTTACATTCTGTTCTTTGAGTGAGATGGGTTTGCAAATCCTATTTCCCCAGGATGCCCTGAGTTGGAGATGCCCTTTTTTAGTCTGCATTCTTGTTTTTTTTTTTTTTTCTCCATTCCCCTTGACAACAAGCTGGTTCTTGAAGCCTGTAAATATTTTAAGGACTTTCAGAAGTGTGTCCCAGATGCCAGCATAACTGAAAGGTTGCAGACAGGACTGTGTGTGAGATACCAACGCCAGTTTCTGCTCCTGACCCCAGAGAGAGGGGTGCTACCTGGGCCAATCACCTGCTAGGTTCTAAAGGGTGCAGACTGAAACTTAGACAGCTCTGAGGAGAAATTCTTGCAGCTTCTCAATTGTACTTTTCTTCCCTTAACACTATCATCATAGGAACACAGGCCTTAGGAAGCCCCCATTCTTCTCGCCTTGGTCCTTGGTATCAAACAGGATTCTCTCTTTAGGCCAAACCCCTTGTTGGGTTTGGGTGTGTTTTTCTGAGCTGCCTCCACTTGTCTTTGGGGCTCCCAGTCACCACAGCAAACCCGGATCTCAGCTCAGGCGACCTGTTATGGTCCCTTCTCTCGCTTGAAGCCCTGAGAGCATTCATCACTCGTGAGCCATAGATGCCAGAGGCAGTTTCTGAGATACTCTTCCAACAGAAGGAAACTGAGCCTGGAGTCCTGAGAAAATGAGTTCTAGACCCCCATGTGCTTTGAGACTCCATACAGACCACACACAGGCTTTGCTGGGCCTGACAGATTGAGGGCTTATGCTGCTACAGCGGTGGGGCCGGACATCTTTCTCCCGAGTTCCTTGCCCCCATCCAGCACTTAAAATGGGGTCCAGACCAGCCCCCTGGATGCCCAGCACAGCCTGCCTGTCTCTTGCTTGCCTGATGTGTGCTAATGCCCTCCTGCATGGCATGCGACAAGTCTCCCATTGCAGGAAGGGGGCCATGAAATTGGGACATGTCCTCTCAGGGGCTAAACAGATCTGTCCCATGTGTTTGCCACCCTCAGCACCACCCTGAAGCCCCTCACCATGCCCACCGTCCAGATTTCAGAAGTGGATGCGCCCGCTGACAGCAGCGAGACCCCCAGCCCCACAGGTACGTGAGCTCCAGCTAGAGGCCATGTGGGTGACAACAGCTGTGGTTTTAACCTGTGGCTTTTTTGTATAAATATATAAAATCCACATGAATCAATACCTTTTTTTTAAGAAAAAAAGTTAAAAGGAAAGAATTTAAAATCTCTCTCCTCCTTGCCTTTAGTTTCCCTTCCTTAGAGCAGCCTGCAGCACCCTTCCTGCTAGAACAAGCAAATGCATGCAAATCCACACAGATCCAAGCAGATGGCCTGCTGTCACCTCCTGGAGTGGTTATGGCTCCTTCTCAACCTCCCTCTAGACAACTTTCTTCAGTAGCCCCAGCCCCTCAGGCCCCTCACCACCAGCAGCCACCATTTGACTTCCTGTCTCGGTGACTGTGTCTGCTCTGAGCACCTCACGTGAGCTGATTCATGAAGGACACGTCCTTTTGTGACTGGCTGATTCCAACTCAGTGTCACACCCTCAAGGTTCTCCCTGGGTGGGCCCTGAGGCCGCTTGTTTGCAGCGTCTTGCACGCCCTGGCGTCAGGCTTAGCCTGAGTCCGGTGCTGTTCTCGGCCCTGTTTTCTGTGTTAACTTACTTACACCCTCACTATGATCCCACAGGCAGAGGCTCTTGTTACCCCTCCAGAAAACGGAGGCACGAGAGGCCAGGGAAACATGGCAGGGATAGAGCTGGGATCTGAGCCTGGGGGGCCGGCACTGAGGCCTGTGCTTGGAATCTCCGTAAATTAAATGTTATGTCTCCTCCAGCAGCAAATCATTTTTATAAAACGTGTTTCTGGGGAAACAGTGGTGCCACAGTGTCAGCCTTGAAGGGAATCGGGCTCTAGCAGACAGTCCATCCCTACCCCCTTTCTTCTCAGACTCCAGGGGCCTGAAGCCTGTGCAGGAGGACACCCCACAGTTGATGCGCACACGCAGCGATGTTGGGGTGCGTCGCCGTGGCAATGTGAGGACATCCAGTGACCAGCGGCGAATCAGACGCCATCGCTTCTCTATCAATGGCCATTTCTACAATCACAAGGTAGAGGGGAAACCTCAGGGACATCGCTGCTTTCTGGGCGGCTGCCACTTCAGTGCTAAGGCCATGTGATCCTAGGGAAGTGGGGTACCCAGAGAGGCCAGGCATTTTCAGTTCAGTCTCAGGGTTATGAATGAGATGGGGGCTTTGCTGTCTTCTTGAGATACTCAGTACTTTGGGTGAGGAATTGTTTCCACTAGGTGTGGGAGATTTCAGAAGCAGGTTTAGCTTTCAAAACTGCATGAGCACATCTCATGACCCCCACTCCTTGTCTTGGCATGTCAATCTGTGTAGCTAATTCCTGCTCCCACCCCTGGCCTCCCCCAGCACCCAGCACCCTGTGTGAGCAACAGTGATCCCCACTTTATAATAAGAGTACTAGAGACTCCGTAGAGAAAGTACAAGAGTTTATTTCATGACTTTGCAGAGTCAGTGGCATGCTAGAGAAAAGGCAAGAAGGCTAGCAGGCCATTTGGTACAAAACAAGGGTTTTTATACTTCCCAATTGGCTGAGATCTTTAGAGCGGTACAATCTTCCCTGAGTCTAGTATTATCCCCTCCCCAGATTCCTCATCCTATCGGCTCAGGATGCAAACTTGTCTAATTTCTACCCTGGGACTTGAGTTTCCCTCCTAGCAGGCAGGCCGCCTGTAGCTTTTTTACCGCTAGGCTGAACTGAGAGTGTTCTGTCAGTCAAATCCTAGCGCCAGCTAGAGAAGACAAGGGCTTGGCGCCTGCCCGCCCGTACCTGCTGCCTCTCTCTGGTTCTCTGACAAGCTGTCAATGCATTCCCTGAAAACAGACCGTGAAGATTTACTCTCTTCTCTGCTGCCCTCTGACCCCCTGAGCTGATGGCTGTTTTTGAGCAAGCCTACAGGTGGCAGTTCAGCTCAGGGACCCCAAGCTAGCTAACCCTCCCTTCCTTTCTGCTGCTTAAATCTCACCAGAAGCAAGTGCATGGTGGGAGGGTGGCCGGAGACCGCCTCACACCCAAGTGCGTGGTGGGAGGCTGGTCTCTCAGAGGAAGGGTCTCTGAGGATGTTTTGCTTATCTGGTCTCATCTCTAACCCTGCTCTTTGGAGCTCAGACCTGAACTTGCCAGGGAAGCATAGTCTGAGCTGGGCAAACACTAGGGGCCACTTTGTCTATATCCACAGATGATGCTGGCCAGAGTGCCTGGGGCTCTCCTCGACATGTTTTGAATACTGTCCCTGGGCCCCCTACTCGCTGGTTTTGAGACTCGGTCCTTGTCCCCACTCCTGCCCTAAACCAGAGCCCCCTTTGTTGACAGACATCAGTTTTCACACCAGCTTATGGCTCTGTCACCAATGTCCGCATCAACAGCACCATGACCACCCCCCAGGTCCTGAAGCTGCTGCTCAACAAGTTTAAGGTAAGTTCTCTCCATCGGGCTGTGAGCCTCGGGGCTGTCAGGGAGGGAGGTGGGGTGGGGGAGCCTGGCAAGTTTCCCCACTCTTCCACCACCCCAGATCCATCGCCTAGAGAATTGTCCCATCCACAGTGAGAGGATCCCCCGCCTTGATTAACATCAAGATAACTTCTGCAGACCAACAGACTCTAGACATCCCTCTCTGAGGCTCGTTTCCCAGAATTCTAGATTGTGTCAAGATGGCAATTAAAACACCAAGGATTGCTTATTTACTTTTTTTTGAGATGAGACCTCATATACTGTTTTTTTTTTTTTTTTGGCTCCCCGTCGGGGGAATCGAACCCCAGTCTCCCGCGTGACAGGCGGGGATACTCACCACTATACAAACGAGGATCATATACTGTTTTTTTTTTGAGACAGGGTTTCTCTGTGTAACAGTCCTGGCTATCCTGGAACTCACTCTGTAGACCAGACTGGCCTCGATCTCATGGAGATCCACCTGCCTCTGTCTCCTGAGTGCTGGGATTAAAAGCGTGCACCACCACCTCCCGGCGAGACCTCACTATATTGCCCAGATTGGCCTCAAACACTTGGGCTCAAGAGATCCTAGCCTTTAGCCTCCTGACTAGCTGGGACTATACATATGAGCTTAGCTAGTATTCTTTTTATTTTCCCAATGATTTTATTTTTATCTATATGTTCTGTTCTTTCGTGGGGCTAGGATTCAAATCCAAGTCCTCACACAGAGCAACAAACACCCTCATTCCTTGCATTCATGTGTTTTTGATTTTTTTGTTTATTATTTGTGTATGCGTGTGCCGTGATGTATGTTTAGATGCATGTGCCACGAAGCATTTGTGGAAGTCAGGTGACAACTTTGTGGAGTTGATTCCCTCCCCCCACTCTGTGTGGGCCCTAGGGATCTAGCTCAGGTTGCCAGGCTTATGTAGCAAGCACCCTTGCCCACTTCACTTCTGACTGCCTAGAGGATTCTTATTTTTCCTGGAAGTCAGTGAAACCTAGGACGCAAGGCTCTGAGTTTGGGTCCCTGTGACCACCTGCCAGACAGCTGGGTAGGGCAAGTTGCCTTAACCCGCCTGTGCCCTGGCTTTCTTATTTGTGGGAGGGTGGTACTCACTTTCATGTTATGGGATGTCACAGGATGAGTGAACACATGTTAAGTGTGTGGGCTTCCCATCCTGATATGTGTTCACTATTCCGGTCCAAAAGCTTGAAATCTAAAATGCACTAACCTCAGAAACTTAACAAGCAATGACATGACTCAGTTGTCACCTCGGGTCTCAGGTTTTTGTAGAAGGAAGCTCTAAGCTGGTAAAGTTCCTGCCAAAATCCGCAAACTGAAAACCTCTGAAATCTGAAACATGACTTCTCCCGACATTGCGGATGAAGGATGCTCCGCTGCTATTATCTAGCGTGATTGACAGTTCCCTGCCTGTTGCATGTCCTTCTTGGTTGTAAACAAAAGGTTCTTACTTTGTAGAAGCCTAGGCTGGGATGTTCCACTCTTCTTTTTTCCCCTCTTGATTCAGATTGAGAACTCGGCAGAGGAGTTTGCCCTGTACGTGGTCCATACCAGTGGTGGTGAGTCTGAGGGGCCCAGTACACTTCAGATCCTTCAATTAACTCAAAATAGCAAGTTCAAAGCAAAACCCTCTCTTACTTCGTTGATGTTTCCTAAAATTCTAAATGTTGTTTGTCCCCAAGCCTGGTGAGCTTGCGGGACAGGTGCCCCAGGGAATGCCGCGTGGGCTGTAATACTAGATTCTCAAACTTAACTGCCTATTAGAAAATGAACTGGATTTTCTCTGGAGACAGATGTCCAGTTCCTCCTGCGTGGCGCCTTCCAGAGGGTCTGAGGCATGGTAGTGTGTGTGTGTGTGTGTGTGTGTGTGTGGCGGGGGGGGGGGGCTACTTTTAATAACCCATATGTTGAGTAGTTCATCCCAACACAGTCTGTCTTGTGTGGCTGCATCTCATAAGTTGCCTGTCCCATTTGGACTCCTGAGCTGGCCACCATTCCTGGTGAGAAGGCTCTTGGGCTTAGCTCAGGGTGCCTTGATTCTATCGCTTTCAGAGAAGCAGAAGCTGAAGAACTCTGACTACCCCCTGATCGCCCGCATCCTCCAGGGCCCCTGTGAACAGGTCTCCAAGGTCTTCCTGATGGAGAAGGACCAGGTGGAGGAGGTCACCTATGATGTGAGTCCCTTTTGTGTGATGGTCGGTCCTCAGCAGCAGGGGTCGGGGTGGCGGGGGAGGACACTTACTGGGTTACTGTGTGGCTTTTTGACCAGAGCTTTGTCCCTATGGCTGCTATGCTTTCTGATCAGGTTCTTTTGACAGCAGTTGAGGGTGGGCCCTCTGGGGATTGTTAGAGGAATAAATTTCTTTAGACTCCCGAGGGCGCTGGGGCCCTGAGGACTTTGGAAGCATGCTCCCAACACTGGGAACTCAGCAGGGAATTTCTTTTCTTGAGTGTTAGTACAGTAACAAGCACCCTCAAATCCAAGTACCTTATGACATTCACTCTTTTCCTCATGATTCTGCTAGCTGATAGCAGCAGCCCTGTGCTTGGCTCGGGTAAGTTTATATCCTATTCAGACCCAGCGGAAGGGCAGCAGCTTCCTGGGCTCTCTTTCCCAGGGCAGGTGGGTTGGAGCATGAGAAACCAGTACAGGGGCTGTAGAGATGCCTCAGTGGGTAAAGAGCTGTACATATGTGAGGACCTGAGTTCGAATCCCCAGGACCCACATATATCGAGGTGTGGCATTATATCGAGGTGTGGCAGCATGTGCCAATGATTTCAGTGCTCTAGAGTAAGACGGAGGGTGGAGGCAGGAGACTCCCTGGGGACTCCTCCCCTCCTGGGCCACTCTGATAAGGTTTCCCTCTGACCTACACACCGTGGTACATGCAAGCCTTTTCTTGAGCACCTGTTACACATGTTTCACACACATGTAATGTATACATATTACACACAAATAATAAATCTGTGGACAATTTTTAAAAGAAGAAACTAGTCCAAACCGTGGAGGCTCGTTTTAAGCCTCCACTCATTTAGAATGTGTCAAGTCTGCAGAAATTCCAGTGGCTGCCACAAGGGACCCAGGCAGGCTCAGCATTTGTAGGGGAGAATATTAAATACCCGGAGGAAAGCTGAGAGAGTAGGTCAGGGTTCTGGTTTTGTTTGTTTTCTTTCTTTCTTTTTCTTTCTTTTTTGAGGAGGCTGAATTTCTCTGTGTAATAGTCCTGGCTATCCTGGAACTTACTTTGTAGTCCAGGCTGACTTGAACTCACAGAGATCCTCCTGCCTCTGCCCTCCTGAGCGCTGGGATTAAAAGCATGCACCACTACTGTGGGAAACAGTTTTTATATTGGTGGCCAAATTCGGGTAATCTAGTAGTTGAGCCACTACTGCTCAGCTGTTTTTTGTTTTGTTTTGTTTTTTTTTTTTTTTTTGGTTGTTTTTTGTTTTTGTTTTTTTGGCTGGGGAGGGAAAGCCCTGTCTTAACTCTCTGTACCAGGTCAGTCTCTTCCCTAAAGCAAGTGCCTATTTGGCTACCTAGAGACTGGAGACAGGAGTCTGCGCTGTGATGACTCCTCATATCCCATCTGGGGGGAGCACAGCAGTTTATTAAGGTCTTATTTGGTCTTCGATTTGTTGCAGTTCTAGGGATGGAGGTTAGAGACCACCTCCACCCTCCTAGCCCCAGGAGGGAGCTAGAGCCCACCCTCCACACCCCCAACTACACCCCCAGCCCTAGTAGCTCCTTCTCTGAATCCCTGCATGAGAGGGAAGTCCTTTTCTGTGTGAAGTCCTCCCTGGAGTTGGGGTTCACACTAGTTAAATGAGAACTGAGAAATCACAAGGTGGAATCCTATAAACACAGGCTTCTTCATGCAGACTGGACCAGCCTGGGGTAGAATGAGGAAATCCTGGGCTAGTGGGAAATTAGATTTCTGATGGCTTTGTGCCTTGAGGAGAGTGATGGCAAAAGTATTTTGTAACAAGGGGATTTATTTCCCCCCCTCCCCAGGTGGCCCAGTACATCAAGTTTGAGATGCCAGTCCTTAAAAGCTTCATCCAGAAACTCCAGGAGGAAGAAGACCGGGAGGTGGAGAAGCTGATGCGCAAGTGAGCGTGGTGTCTGGGTCAGGCTGGGTGTCAGGGCCCCTCTGTTCAGCCGCCCTGTGAACACTGGTGCCAGAGGGCTGCACGCTGACAGACCAGATCTCAGCCAGGGACATGGGGAGTGGGTCAGGCTGGGTGTCAGGGCCCCAATCGTTCTGCTGTAGGCCAAGGCCTTTCGTTTGTTCTTGGCTGCCCAGACCTGAAGTAATCACACAGAAACTGTATTAATTGCAGTACTGTTGGGTTAATAGCTTAAGTGTATTGCTAGCTAGTTCTTACATCTTAAATTAACCCATTTATTTTTTTTTAACATTTACTTTGATTTAATTACAGAGCAGTTTCCTTTTCTATTTTCTTTTTCTTTATTTATTATGTATACAATGTTCCTCCTGCATGTACACCTCCAGGCCAGAAGAGGGCACCAGATCTCATTACAGATGGTTATGAGCCATCATGTGGTTGCTGGGAGTTGAACTCAGGACTTCTAGAAGAGCAGCCAATGCGCTTAACCTCTGAGCCATCTCTCCAGCCCAAATGAACCCATTTCTATTATTTTATATTTTACCATGAGGCTTGGGGTCTACCAGTAAGGTTCTGGCCGGCGGATTACATTTTTCTCCTTTGGCAGCTACATGGCGTCTCCCCGACTGCCTACTCTCCCTCTACATCTCTGTTCGGATTTCCCGCCTGGCTTTACTCTGTTAAGTCATTGAGCCAAAGCAGCTTCTTTATTAATCAATGGCAATAAAACATATCCACAGCATACATCATTCTGCTGCCCTGTGGGGACAGGTGCCAGAGGGCTGCCCACTGGCAGACCCAGCTCTCAGACGGGGACATGAGGAGCGGCATTCCCTCTTCTTGTGTCAGCAGCTTACTTGGATATGAGATAGCTAAATATCTTTTCCTTTCCTCTTATGAAAGAACTCTGGGAAAGAATGTGCCGGCCTCAAATCTCGATGGAATCTGACTTTAGAAATAGGGAGGTTCCTCTCTCCTGGGTCTTAATCTATTGTCTGTTTCTGTAACCAAACACTCGGGGCTGGGCTATTTAAAAAGAAATGAGGTTCATTTAGCTCACACTTCTGCGGGGCGCGGGGGCGGGTTAAGAGCATGTGCAGCCCACATCTGCTTGGCTTTGGTGAGGGCCTTATGGCGTGGCAATGATGACCTATGAGACAGGAAGCTAGAGGGGGACTTGGGATGAGCTTTTTATAAGAGCTTGTTACTTTAAGAACTAACTGGAGTCTTGTGAGACTATATAAATTTGACTATTACCCAAACATCACCGTGTGGAGACGAGGCTCCAAACACATGAACTTTGGGAGGAAGCACGTTCAGACGATGGTAGGGTACCTGTCACAGCTGTGTGACGAGGCTCCCAGACGGAAGTTGGTGTTCCTTCAGATGAGGCTCAGGGTCTGAGATTTTTGAGGGCAAAGTCTGGAGATCATTAGAGGGTCAGCACAGGTCCTGGGGCATGTCCCAAAGGGGTGCAGGCATAGAATGCTGAAACACAGATGTCCTGGGAACCTTAGGAAGGTGGTCTGCGCAGCAGAGACGGCCAGAGCTGCCCACTCTAAAACCCTTCACGTCCTTCCTCCTTCAGATATGTTTCTTCTGGAAATTTCACTTGGGTTGAAGAGTTCAACAAACTTCTGGATGTCATAGATGATGTCATTTTAGTCATAGAACAGACTGCCTTCTGTAGCTATAATAGAAGGTGGTTAATCTGGTGTTGGAGGATAAAGCCACATATTTATTTCCTGTTTTCAGCAATTAGTATGACAACAACCGACATTTTATTGAACACTTACTATGTCCTAGACTTTAACATAGCCTTTGCTATAGAGTACACACTCCGAGCTTGAGGAGTGTGCCTCCTGGGCCCTGCACCATGGTGCCCACTCCAGTAGTGTCACGGCTCAGGAACATCCTAGAGAAACTGAAGTCACCCACCAGCCATGAAACTGTGCGTTCAGTAGTTAAGGGTTTCTTCTGTACGAGCAGGAACTGGTATAGGCAGACCCATCCGGGGCTGTTATTTTAATAGGCTCCCCTAGAAAGTGAAATACTGGTGACTTTGTATATTTCAGCCTTGATTAAGGCTCATGAGAGTCCTGTGCACAGGGCCTCTGGCAGTGTGAGCACTCAGTGGACCCTGGCTGTTGATATCTTCGTGTTTCTAGCCATCATTTGCCACTCTTCATAGCCACAGTGAAAGAGCCTAATTTGGAGTTGACGTCTTTCCCTGTTGCCCTAGTAAGGAAGGACGTGTGGGGTGGTGAGAGTAGTCAATGACGTGTGGAGTAGCGAGAGTAGCCAGTGATGACGTGTGGAGTAGCGAGAGTAGCCAATGACGTGTGGAGTAGCGAGAGTAGCCAGTGATGACGTGTGGAGTAGCGAGAGTAGCCGATGACGTGTGGAGTAGTGTGAATAGCAATGATGACGTGTGGAGTAGTGTGAATAGCAATGATGACGTGTGGAGTAGTGTGAATAGCAATGATGACGTGTGGAGTAGTGTGAATAGCAATGATGACGTGTGGAGTAGTGTGAATAGCAATGATGACGTGTGGAGTAGTGTGAATAGCAATGATGACGTGTGGCATAGCGAGAGTAGCCAATGACGAGAGCTAAGGAGCAGGATGGTTGGTTCTGGTGTTGCCTGGGTGACAGGGAAGCACAAGAGACGTATTGTAGACTGCCATCTACTTCAGGCTGCTTTGGTTCCCAGGTACACCGTGCTTCGGCTAATGATTCGGCAAAGGCTGGAGGAGATAGCAGAGACCCCCGAGACTATCTGAGCCACGGGAGCAAGGGGAATCCAGACACTCCAGGGGCTGCCGCTGACCTGAGAAGACCCATGGGAGGCTAGGCACCGGCCTTCCACACAAACCTCTGCAGCGCCCCAGAAGCCAGCATTGCTCCCTGGAGTAGGACACAGAAGAAATGTTCCCTCTTTCTGGGTCCCTGTCCTTCTTTGTTTTATTCTCTAAGGAGGCCCCACAATGTGTGTGTTCACATACCTTAGTGTGTGTGTGTTCACATACCTGGGTGTATTTGTGTGCACACTCATATATGCATACGTGTACTTCTTATGTCCATGTGCCTCCTTGATGTTTTCACATGCAATTAAATTCCAAGCAGCCAGCACAGGTGCCACGAGGTGGCAGACACTGCTCCTGATCAGGAAGAACAGGGGAGGAGCTAAGGCTTTTGCCCCTTCCGGTGCCAACGGCAGTCACACATACCTGCCCGGTTTGAAAGGGAAGAGGGATCTGCAGGCTCACCATTTGGAATGACTGAAGGTTTGTAGCAGAGATTCTTCTCCCCATTTTCCAAGAAGGATGGGTGACTGCGAGATCCTTGGAAATTAGTGATGTGGAAGCCCCACGCCCTTGGGGCAAGTCCAGGGAAATGGAGACATGAGGTCACTGCGGGGCAGATGCAATGTGTCCGCGAGTTTTTGCACTGCAGAGGTTATCGTTGAAGATAGCACAATGAATGTCCTGTCCTGTGTGGATACCTGGAGAGAGCGGAGTCTGCCTCTGTTCTTGCTTTGTGGAGGTTTCTGGGTGATTCTGCCCTCTCAGTTGCCACTTGAGTTCTTGGTGTCCTCCTTGGCTTGAAGAAAAGTCTTCTGAAATGAACGTAACTCCAGCCTGCTCATGTGCCGGGGCTGGGTGTGGACTGAGATAAATGACGTTCAGAAGGTGCTCACCGGTAGGGCTGAAGGGACGGAGAGAGGCCACCTGCTGAAATGATGGCCCTTCAAGTCCCAGCGCACAGCCACATCAGCGGGAGTCGTCCCCACAGGGAGTTGGGGCTTTGCGTTTAAAGCGAACACATTATTCTTTCTGGCTCTGCACACTTGCAAGCTTCTTCACCTTCTACACAGAGCTGGATTCCAAGAATGAAGACTTGTCCTGTTGTTGATTAAAACAGGGGTCAAGGAAGCTCTTTGGGGAGTCCTGTGAAGCGTGGGCAGAGGGGACGGTGCTCACTTAGCCTCTGAGCAGCTTTGCTGCTGATATTTAGAATCAGCCTCATCGGTAGAATGGGCAGGAATGGCCCTGTACCCCCTCTGCTAGGGAAACTGTCATGCAGCTGGCCACCAGTGTGGCTTGCACCATTTGAGATGGGACAGATAGATGGTAGGAGCTTGGTGCTGGTCTGTGAGACGCCACCAGGCAAGATGAGCAGCCTGTAACTGGGGCATCTGAGCCATTTTGCTGGATATCACTTTAGTAACTTAGCTCCTCTGCCGGGGCAGCATCGAACATCCCACGGGCAGTGTGATGGACACCCAGAGGACTGTAGTGTCACTCCTATCTCCAGGGGACATCAGCAAAGCACAAAACTACAAGCAGGGGATGCCGCTTCCCTTGTAATCGTAAACTTCGGTGGACTTCAGTAAAACCCAGAATTCAGCAGGGAGCTTTGGGTCCTTTATGACAGCTGAAGGGCAGCTTTGTGGGTGCAAATATTTGAGAAAATGATTTGGATCATTTCTCTCCCACCTGCTGTTATCTTGAATGTTCAGAGCCTATATTGCCCCATAATTCTCCTTTGGGACTTGGGGGCCTTCCACAGAGCACTGCCTCTCACTGGAAAGGGATTTCTGGTTTGTGAAGGTTCTTTTGTGATCCTGTTACTATGGGACTGTTGCAGAGTGTCAGGTTGCCAGGCTCTCCAAGAAGGTGTTGACTTTTAAAATGTGGGGTTCAGAAAGAGTTGGGGTACATATCCACTAATCCATCTTGGTCTTTCCCCTAGAATCATTTCTCACATCTAAATAACCATCTAAATATGGAGAATTTTAGGAAGCTGGCTAGGGGTGTGACTCAGTGGTAGAGCACTCCGTGTGTGAGACGCCAACTTCAATCTCAAGTACCATGAAGAAGAAGAAGAAGAAGAAGAAGAAGAAGAAGAAGAAGAAGAAGAAGAAGAAGAAGAAGAAGAAGAAGAAGAAGAAGAAGAAGAAGAAGAAAAAGAAGAAGAAAGCCTGCAGTTGGGTGTGGTCCCGTGGTAGAGGAACTGCTTAGTGTGGCAGGGCCTGGTGTCAGACTCCAGAGCCAGCCCCACCCCGTAAACTTTGGGAACCTTTAAGATAGCTGCCACTAAGCGGACCTCTACTGCGGCAACTGGATTTTCTCCCCGGTGTCACTTGGCCTTGCGGCTTTGAACTTCAAGGCTGATTCGTGTAGGTTTACGTAATTGTGTGCAGTGAACCGGAAATCCTGAGGAATAAAAGACCAACGCTTGGCTGGGGGGAGGGGTGGGGGCTAATCCAAGGTGTGAGAAGCGGTTTGGCTGCTTCTGAACTCTTTTTTCTCCTGCAAAGGCTTATGTTCCAAGGTGATCAATGCACCAGGCACCGTCAGGTGGGGAGGTTAACTCCAGCCCAGGCTCACATTCTAGTGACCACATCAGTGGGGAGGTGATGGCTTAAAACAGAGGGGGAGGGGGAGAGTGTTAGTTGGAAAGGGACCCAAAGCCCAAACACCAGCCTGCCTGTGCTGGTGAGGAGCACGCGGCTCACAATGGACAGACAACAGCCGAGGCTGAGGAGAGAGCCTCAAGAGCTGTACTATGGCCCAAGGCCAAGATGTTGGTCTGAGACAAGTTGAGGTTTGCGGGAGAAACATTTGCACCCCTCTCCTTTGCTAACTATTTCTAGAAACTTCCAGATAAAGACATTTTATCGTTTTATCTGTGGCATATGATGATCTTCCAAAATCTGTTGTCCATGCAAAAACATCTTGGCAAGGATTGTGTTTTGTGTGTTTATTTGGTGTTGGGGCTGAGGGTGTGGAAGACGAGGAAGCTGGCCAGATATCAAGAACACTCAAGAAATACCAGCTCCTATAAAACCAAGTAACCAGTAAACCTCAAAACAAAACCCATATTTTATTTGAAGCTTTGTAACACGGAGAACTTGGGGATCAGGGATACATTTCCAAGAAAGAAATACGGCCAGTGACCAAAGGAGTTTGAGTATCCCACAGCAGCAAGTCTGGGGTGAGGGAGGAGACAGGAGGCCGCCCTGAGCCCACTCCCCCAGCACTGCCTGTTGTGAAGTTTTTACTTGGGTTGTTTTCTGTCCAGCCTGGCTCCTGCCAGATAAAGGTCATCGGTAAGAATAAGCTCACATTCATTCTTTGAGACTAACTGAAAAGTGTTCACCGAGTCTTGGCGCACACCTCCTTTCCCTCCTATTCCCATTAAACTGAGCACGGAGGTTCCTGACTGTGAACTTGCAGAAAAGCCTCCATCTCCAGGCTGCTGGTTTCTGGGTTTGCTCTTGGTGTCCTTCAGCTTCCCTCTTAGTAGTGCGGAGTCTTTTCTTTTCTGTTATAACCTGCCTATTAGGAATGGTACACGGTTCGTCTCAACCGTTGGTTCTGAACTAATAAACGGACATGTGTAGGCATCTTAACATGATCTGATGAGGCCTTGGTGGGGAACCATGGGTTTGTAACCTTTAAAAAAAAGTTTTTTTAATGCACCTGGCTTAGACCTTATTTAAATAAAGCAGTGTTAGAAGAAGGTCCCTGTGGATTTGGTCTGTGGGTCTTGGGCGGGGGGGGGGGGGGGGGGGGGGGGGGGGGGGGGGGGGGGGGGGGGGGGGGGGGGGGGGGGGGGGGGGGGGGAGGCATCTAGAGGTTGGTTGTAAGGTGGAGGGTGGATGTTGGGTGGGGAGGTCTGTCTGCTTCTAGCGGTTGGTTGTAAGGTGAGGAAGGCACAGTTTAGCCCCTAAGCCAATTTCCATCCCCTGGGGTTTATGGTTTGGATGTGCGCAGACTTAGTTGTGATGTTTTTAGTCCATTTGTTGTTGCTATACTAAAATAGCAGAGGACAGGGAACAAAGAGAAGGCTCATCTAGCTCATATTCTGGGGCCTGTAAGGTCTACAAGCACAGAGTCAGAGTCTGGTGGGAACCTTCGTGATGTACAGTGAGATCAGAGGGGCCACATCGCAAGATCAAGAAAGCATGGTAGAGAGAGCTAGCTCTGTTTTACATGTGTGTTCTTTTTGTTGGTGCTGGGAGTTGAACCCGGCTTTGTGCACACTAAGTACACGCGCTTGAGCTGAAAACAGAACCGCTCCTACAGTAGCCCGAAGTCCTACAATCCGTGAGCAGGTTATCCTGTTCACCAGGGCAGAGTTCACCCAGTCACCCCACAGCACTTCTCCCACTGGGGACCAAGGTCCCATCATGTGAATTTGGGGAACTCAAATCAAACCACTGTCTGTTTTAGATCAGAAGCAAAACAAGTGTACTCTTCTGCAAGTCTAGCTGAGGCCCCTGGTGCACACAAGTGTGGTAGAAGGAGCTGGGGACCTGCCACATAGTGGGACTGGATTTCTCCCCGGCTCATTAGGATCTTGAATGAATCTCCTCTGCAAACTAGGGTGTGGGGACCCTACCCTGCTTCGTTGGAAGCACCCACTGAATGTCTCCAAGAGCTTGTCTCTCAGACTGCCCCTCACATTCCACTCTGGTGAAGTTGTAAGCACACGGTGGCTGGTGGCAATTGTCAGCTTGGTTAGTGTGGTGATAGTTTGTGCTTTAACAAATAAAGCTTGCCTGAAGATCAGAGTGCAGAGCTCTCCACACTAGTTAGCCATAGAGGAGGCCAGGCAGAGGTGGCACACACCTTTAATCTCAGCATTAGGGAGACTGATCTCTGTGAACTCAAGGCCCTCCTGGGCTACACGAGATTGAATCAGTCTAAAAGAGAAACAGAGCCAAGCGGTGGTGGCTCACACCTTTAATCCCAGCACTAGGGAGGTGGAGACAGGAAGTGATATGGCTGGGCAGAGAGAGGAATGTAAGGCAGGAGGAGACAGGAGCTCAGGCTTCAGTCTGAGAATTCATGGAGACAGGATCTTGCCCCCTTTAGTCTGAGAATTCAGTAGAGGTAAAAGGTCTTTCTAGAGGCTGGCTCCTTTACTTCTCTGATCTTTCAGCATTTACCCCGACATCTGACACCAGGTTTTTATTATTAAGACCAATTAGAATTTGTGCTACAGGTTAGGCCGTAGTCCAGGATGTTTGATCAAATGCTAGATGCTGTGAGCTTTTTGTTTGTTGTTTGATTTTTAGGTGAATTCAATATTTAAACCAATAGACTTGAAGTAGATTGCCCTCCACAATGTGGGTGGGCTTCATCAAAGCAATTGGAGGTCAAAAAAAAAAAAAAAATGAAAGAAAACAAAACAGGCTGAGTCTTCAAGGTAGGAGTAGTTCAGCTTCCAGCCTGTGCTGTACTTACAGCTTGAACTGTAACCTCAGCTGCATAAGCAAGTTCCTTAAAACACTTCCATTTGTGTGTGTGTGTGTGTAAATATAATCAGATCTCTCTATCTGCAGATGACATATCATTGGATTCAACCAACTGTGGGTTGGAAGTAGGCAGCTGTAGCACAATGCATGCTCTATGTGCTAGGCGCTACCGTACAGTTCGCAAGTCAGGCAAGGGCCTGGAGATTGACACACACACAGAAACAGAGACAGAGACATTGGTAACGCCAAGTACGCCCCTTTTAGTGTGGTCCAGGGCAGCTTATATTGGGTCTTCTTGACTAATGGCCACGCCCTAACCCTCAGCTGCAAGCCCAGCAGAAACCACTCCCCTGCCATCAGGAACTCCTGAGGGTCTCCTGCTCAGAGCAGTTGCAAAATAAGTTGTTTGCCCAGAGCAGCTGCAAGCGTAGAAAACAAGTTGTTTACTCTGGCAGGCAGGGGGTCCACAGTCCTCAACAGGAAGCATTTATTTATTTATTTATTTATTTACTTTTAATTCCACGACATTCCCAAAGGCAAACTTGTGTGCTCTACAGAGTCCAAGCAAATACAATGATTGTAGGCATGGCCTACCACAGCTCCCGTGTTCCCCAGTTCCTCTGTCTTGCTCCAGCATTCAGCATCGGTTGGCTTGTATCTTATTCAGCTAATTCCTTGTAAATACACACACACACACACACACACACACACACACACACACACACACTTGTTCTGTTTCTCTAGAGAGCCCTAATACAGGGGAGGGAAGGTTGGTTTATAAAGCTGGGGAAACATGGCCAGGAAGGATAAATAATAACCGTAATCTGTTCTCTAGAACAAGAAATCAACCAAGAAAGGACTGTAATGATGTTACCTCAAAATGCAGCAGATTTTTATGGTGCACGTCACAGGATTGTTTGTGACATAGACAAGAGACAGATGGTTGGTTTGGGGTCTCACAAAGGTCCAGGCAGGCAGCAGACCTCATAAAAGTAAAGAGTGTCCGGATTACCCAACAAGGATCCGCGACCTGCAGGGCAACTGGCGGTTCTCACCGTGCTTTGTGGAAATGGGTTTGATTTGGCGCCATGCTGTCTGCTTCCCATGCTGCAGTTCTTCCCTAGTGGGGTTCTCTGCGAGTACAAGACTCTACCAGCAGATCCGAGATGCACCTCAGTAAGGTACTGGGGTACTTAAGTATAAACAAAAGCTACTCAAATGGAACTTGGATGAAATTGCCATTGCTATGTTTTCTTTAAAGTGATCCCAAGCCAAAATGACCCCCTTCGAAACCGTCATCACTTATGATTCAAAAACACACATAAGTTACACACACACACACACTCACTCTATATAAGTGACACATTACAAATACATACTTTTTAAATGTGTACATTAATTTTACAAGTTTTAAAACAGCAGGCACTGCACAGCAAATTAGCACCCATGCTTATCATCCTAGTCACCACTGAGTGGATACAGCCTTTATCAATTGTACCTCAATAAAACTGATTTGATATATAGCATGAAGTTGTTATCACAGTAACATTAATTAACATATCCATCATCATGCAATTACCACATTTGATGTGTTGGGGCCGGGGCTGTAATGTAAGGGCACTTGGGTTCTACTTTCCCCCCACGTTTCAAGTAAACAGTACCGTGTTGACATTCACACTTCCACGCTGAGTTCTGGAATTGATTAATCTTTTAAAATATATCAATTAATTTTATATTCATGGGCATTTTGTCTGCATCACTATATGTGTACCCTGTGCATACCTGGCGCCCTCAGAGGCCAGTAAAGCCTCTGGAAGTGGAGTTACTGATGGTTATGAGCTGCCACGTGGGTCCTGGGAATCCAGCCCACATCCTGGAAGAGCAGCCAGTGCTCTTAACCACTAAGCCCACTCTCCAGCTGTGACTGATCGTCTGAATGATAGTCTCCATCCTGACTCTTTGGATATGACCCTAAAAGGCACATGTGGCAAAAGCAAATACCTGGAACTCCGTGTGACTGCATGGAGCTGAAAACTTCCCTGCAACGAAACGAAAAGATAGCCCACAGGAGGAGTGGTGCCAAGAGGCCAGCGTCCTGGGTGTCACTCCATAACTCTTGACTCAGCATGTAACCCTGCTAGTCACTAAGCCCCTCTGAGTCACCATGGTCCCCCTGTCCACACCTGCATAACCGCCTGGGGTCAGCAGTACCAAGGCCGAACACCCCAGGCTTCTGGAAGGGTAACTGATGCCAAGATTGGGGCAGAAGGAACAGGACAGTGTGGGTGCGCCCAGCTAATGGGAGATAATTATGTCTCAGAGATGTCTGGGCTATAATTTTGGGAAGAAACTGTTGAGAACTCCCACACATACCAAATAGCTGTCTGGTACTTCCAAAAGCTTTGGTCCCAAATGATCCTAGGTAAAGATCTAAAGATAAGGACTATATCTGAGAACTAGAATTTTGGTTAAAGTTCCTTAGCCAGATTTTGGCAATAAAATAAATTGCTACAAAAATCAACTAGTTTGGCCCAAAGCTCTTGAACAAAGAAAACTAGAAGTAACAACATCTATGTCCCATTAAAAGAAACCAGAAAGTACAGACTTAGTTTAAAATGCTCAAAATAGTCTAGAGATGAATCAGGAGAAATATTAAATGAATTTTCAAAGTGGCTAAAATAATGAGAATGGATGCAATACATTGTATTTCTAGGAATAGAATCTAATAAAAGTTGAAAAATAGAGAAATGGAAAGATATACTTTATAGATTAGCAGTCTCCCCAAATTTATCTATAGATTCAGCTAACCTCAATACACCAAGTAGGTGTTTCATGCCCTTTATGATGAAGGTTCAGCTAAAATTAAACTATAAACATAAATGTTATTCAGCCATTGCAAGTATAATTTAAAAAGTGATGTCGGACTATCGTGCCGGTAAACCTTAACTGTCGACACACCGTTGAGTTAGTTATCTGAGAAGAGAGCATCACCCGAGGGTTTGCCTGGACCAGGTGATCTACGGCTGTGTCTGCTCAGAATTGTCCTGATTGTTAACTGAAGCAGGAGGGCCCAGCCCACCGTGGCTGGTACCACTAGGCAGGTGGTACTGAGCCGCACACCAAGGTAGCTGGATATAAGGCGGCTTTAGAGCCAGCTAGCAAGCCGCTTTCCCCTGCTTCCTGCTGTTCTTCCCTGGCTGGGAAGTGCGTTTCTTGGTCAGAAATAACCCTGTGGAACAGCAAGCGGGCCTGCCTTTAAGA